GCTGAGGTGCTTCCTGGAGAGTAGGGAGGAGAGAACAGAGTATTTTGGGCTTAAACCTTTGCTACTCTTTTCAGGAACTCTTTAGCGCTGAGATTTCAGGTCATGTAATTCCCTTCTATCACAGTCAGGAAGAGTCAGTTCTCTGGTCAAGTTGTAAAGGACAGTCAGTCCAAAAACGTTTATTGCTTACTGAATACATGACATAAGTTAAAACACTTAAGTTTCTATTACAGTGTAGGTAACCACACTTCCTATTAAGCTTCAAAAGCCCTAAGCAGTCGACACAAAGACGCATCCCATAGCCCCACTTGAAGCAACACAAGCTCAAGTCCAGGTCCAGACTTTCCTGGACGGGCAGCTGCTCGGAACACTGCTTGTGCCATCATACCCTACCTTGCACATCTTCAGAGCATGTTTGGAGTTGATTTTTCAGGCTGCCAAGTGATTTCTTAAAGGGGGTGGCAGAGGTCTGCTGCTCACACAGTTTAGCCAGGTTTGATACAGGATTTACAGAGCTCTGCAGCTGAGGGCATCTACTGAAGAGGGGTGAAGTTTAGGGGCTCTGTGATTCATCTAAGCAGGTTCACCATTTGGTGGCAGCTTTCAAAATCCCATTAATGGTACCCCCACCACTGATGAACAATTTGATCTTCGTGTTCAGTCACTAGGGTCCTGTTACCGCATTCTTCCCAACGTCTGACGTTCCCATTCTCCACCAAGATAAATTTCCACTCTACTCTGGTGTCTACTGGCAAAATAACGGAGTCAGACCAGAAGCCATCCTTGTCGTACTTGAGGGGGACGTAGCTGTGCCACTGGCCCAGACACTCGTGGTCGCCAGTGACAGCGATCAGCTGGGCATCGGAGTGCGTGATGTAGTGCACCCGGAAAGTCACGTGGATATTTTGAATCATGGGGGGCACAGCTGCAACCCTCTTAGCTCTCGAGTCCCCATCGGGGCAGTCTCCTTGTTCCCATTCCCTGCTGTCGGAGTCTTCCACGCTGTCATCCTTGCCAGCCTCCCCCCAGGCCAGCTGCTCAGAAACAACTTCCCACTCTTCATGGTCCACATCCCGACTCTCTGCAGGCTGACCCTGCTGCTCCTCGCTTCTCTCCTTAGAAACATCATCAGGGGCTCCTGCCAAGTTCATCACACACCATCCATCACTTGCCTGTCCTGTCTGGGGTCTCAGTTCGCCATCCTGGCTGCCACAAATATCAGCTGGATGCTCCTTGGAGTCGGTCACGCTCTGCTCTGGGAGAGGCTGCTCCATCTCCAGAGGTTCACCGGCACCTCCACCGCTTTGTACATGGTTGAGCTCATTCGTTGGTGCAGCTGCCAGATCTTCTGGCTCCTGAGGGGTGGACAGGGCAGCAGCAGCCTTGGTCTCCAGCAGCACTTGCTCGCTGCTCCCCAGCAGCTCCTCTGAGAACGACATTTAATTAAAACAGGGATGATTTACACATGCAATTAAGCAGAGCAGCGGCAAACCCAAGCC